GAGGTTGTCGTTTGAGTTCCGACATTGTTTTCGGCGACTTCGTAGCAAGAAGAAACCTTCAAGGAAATGTTTGCTAGTGCCAAAGCCATGAACAAAAGAATCCGACGACGGAGGCGTTTAATCTTCGGTGTAAATACACTGTCAGTTTGTGCAACTTCTAGCTGGACACGGCGACTTCCTTGTTGTCGAGTCGACCTTTCAGAGTTGCCGTTTTACTGTGTAAATGTAGAGTTTCGGTATTGTTGGAGCTTAGTGTACATGAGCCAGGGGGCTGAGCATCATTCTTACTGTACAGCGACTGCGCACTAAACTATACACTGATTTTCTGGTTTCGGACGTCGCTTTTAGAGGAAATTCACTTCAGCTGTTCTTTATTTAAAAGTATATCTTATCCCACCTTGTGTTGTGCTGACATATCTAAGTATTTCCGTGAAGTTTTAATGTTGTTTGTTTGTGGATTTAACGCCCTTTCCCCCCCCCAGAGTCATGTCAGGATTTCTGGACGGAATCCGGTGCGGAGACTGTGAGTGTAATGTGGACTGGGGCGAGAGAAGAAACACCATCGCATCTGTAGCTGCTGGAGTTCTGGTATTTCCATTGATTTCCTTATTTTGGCCTGTCGCTAGATAACCTCTAGTCTGTTTACTCATCCACAACACATGTCATAAGAGGAAGAGGTTATTAAACTAAGACAAACACTTGTGGTGGTAGTCGTTCAAGTGATGTGGGTTTAGACAGGGCTGGAAAGTAAATTTGCTGAAGTACTTAAGCAGGTGTACTTGCTTCTACTTTCAGTACACTAACATTTATTTGACAGATTTAGGTATTTTTAAGATGAAGACTTTCTGAATTTGAATTGTGACTTTATTCAGTCATCTTACAATACAAAAAAATCAGAACAATTCATACAGTGCCAACAAGATAGTGACTGAAAAGGTATAGGCGGAAGCAAAATGCTTATATATGCCTATCCTAAGTGCTTATCATTTTAAGCTACCCTCACCAAAATAGCACGAGAGATAAAAGAAAACAAGAGGAAAACAAAACAATAACAATATGATAACAATATGAAAACTTCCTCGGAAGGTAAAACGGCCGCAAACCAACCTTTTTCCCTTCCGTGGAAGTTTTCGCACATCCTGGTGATTACAGTTTACATCCCCCCTCGGCTGATGCTGCTGTGGCCTGTTCCCTCGTTCATTGTTTCGTGTGTCAGCTTCACACCTTCCGTCTTTGGTTTTTATTTCTGGTGTCTTTAGTCTTTCATCGTTCATTGCTCCTTCCCCCTCCTTCCGCCTTTATGTGGTCTGTGGACTGGGCGACTGTGGACGTTGTGTGTTTGGACACCAGGGATGCATATTACTTAATTATTGTTGTTTTCTTGTGCTTTCTTTCTATGTTTTTGGAAACTGCTGTTTACAATAATTTCCCAGGTCTGGGATAAATAAAGTATATTCTGCTCTACAGCAAATCAACAAATCATTTACATTTATAACACTGAAAAACAGCATTATGCAATATTTCTATTTACACAAGAGATATCACTTTTTTTTTTTTGAAACAACTGAATATTACAACTTTAACTCGTAGAAAAGGTTGTCATTTGTTGTGCAGATTATTTGGCCCAAGGTTTAACGCTACTCTGAGTGTTTTTGACTTTTAATGTCTAGCAATAAGCGGTCTCTAGTTAGGGTCACATTTCAAACTGAACAGTTTTAGTTTTTCCCTCTAAACTGATCACATGGTTTAATTTCTGGAAATGTTCAAATGATCCAATTTCTCACTGGAAATTAAATGTTAAAGAAAAAAAAATTAAAACAGATTTGTAAGTCATAATTCTGTTTTTTCTACAGTCTTTTCTTATTGATCATCTTATGGCCACTCAGATTTGTCTACTGTTCAGGTGTATCAAACTGCATATACAGTAGTTCAAACCAGCAGCAGCTACAACAGTAACATGTTGTTGACCCACTGGTATGTTAGAGTACTGGCTAATAAAAGCTACTCTGAGTGTACAGTTAGCCTACTCAAAGGATCTGTGTTTCTGATCAGTATTTACTCTTGTTTTAAATGGGTAGTCTAAGGAGAACTGTTGATTCCTGCTTGTGAATGATCTAACTGGATCTTGTCATTTCAGTTCTTCACTGGTTGGTGGATCATCATCGATGCAGCAGTGAAATATCCTCTAGAGGGAGATTTTCACCATGCCTATCACACATGTGGAGTCATAGCTACGGTGGCATTCCTCATGTAAGAAGGACTTTTCAGACTCTCTGTATGATTTGATTTCAAAACAAAATCACATTTTTAAAAGGGTGCAATTTGTTATGCAGCATATTTGACCCAAGGTCTAAGCTGTTGTGTGAGTGGTTTTGCAAATTCATGCCACCTCCTTGTGCAGCAGTCATGCTTTTGATGATGCCTCATGTGATAATGCTTCATCAAATCTTTTACATGTATACACAGTGAATACTGACTGAAGTTCTTTAACAAATTAGATCACAAATCAAACCACAATCACATTGTAAGAATAATAGATGTTGTCAAAGCGTTGAAAGATGGGCACACAAGGCCCATTATTTGGTGTGTCTAAAGATCTCGAGGCCTTCCTCTGCACATGGAGTTCTTCATTGTCATGGAAAAGATGTCACGTGACTGAAGTGTAGACTTTCAGTCATGTGATAACTGGTGGTTGTGTTTGGAAGGCGGGGTTGTTACCCCCGTCTCTGGTGTTGGATGTGAGTGTCCTCAGCCATCCTCCATGACTTTGGCCTTTTCTCAGTTGGTATTGTAACCAGTGTTGGTCTAGCATTCACCAACATCTGTTTACATGTGACAGGAATGTTCATGTTAGTCATGTGACAACAACAAAACTGTCTCCATGACAACTGAGCAACTCCAGCTGCTGAGCAGGACTTGCACATGTTGCTGAAAGCTTCAGAAACAAGTGGACCTTGTGTTGGTATCTGTCTGATGTATTTCTATTTCCACTGTCATCAGATTTGGGGTTTGAGACCTGCATATCGCTTAGACTTTTATTTCATTGTTTAAATGAGCGATCAGATAAAAGTAACTTACCTGGCCGGTTTTGATTTGTTTGTGTGTTCTCTCATTTGACCCATTTAGGATAAATGCGGTTTCAAATGGACAGGTGAGAGGAGACAGCTACAGTGAAGGCTGCATGGGACAGACAGGTGTGTATCACAGAGTATTATGAACTCCTCTAATATTGACATATCCCCCCCTCCCAAAAAAACTGGATTTTCTCTGTTTCATTCTTGGCATTTTTACACTCAGCAAAAGATTTTTGAACTTCTACTTCCTGTAACCTAATTTCCTAATAATTTATTGTATCACCACTGGAATATATTGTACGTGCAGTAAAACTCAAACCAATAAAGAAGCACTGTGTCGCGTCGCCCAGTAACCCGCCCTTTCTTATCTGTTCTTGCAGGCGCTCGAGTGTGGCTCTTCATTGGCTTCATGCTGGCTTTTGGCTCACTCATTGCCTCCATGTGGATCCTGTTTGGAGGATTCGTAGTGCCTGGTAAGTCCTGTTTATCTGCTTAGCACATTGCAAGTTGTACTCCCTGTTTTGCAGTCAGTTCTGGGGTGTGCTCCTGAGAGGCATTGTACAGTTCTTAGAAACTCACAAGTGTGTTTTGATCAGTTTTATGCAGTAACTGTCAATAAATATGTTACTGTATTAAGAGAAAAAAAAAGTTGCACAGTCCAGATTTGCACAAGAATACATGCTACATAATTTTGTGACCTCTGTAAACCTGCTATGTCTTTTGCAGCGAACAAGCCTGTCTACCCTGGTATTGCCATTTTCTTCCAAAATGCATTCATTTTCTTCGGGTAAGTTTAGTCTTCCTCAGTGACGTCTTTCTTTTATTGCATTCATCAGATGAAAATATTGTGCTCATATTATCCTCACTTTGTTCTAATTTCAGGGGTTTGGTCTTTAAGTTTGGACGTACAGAGGATCTTTGGCAGTAATGGACTGTGTGTGTTGTTGTCCACGGTCACACACTCTGCTTTCTTTACTGTATGAGACAGTATGCTTCGGTGGTTATATTCTTTATATATAAACTTTTTTTAGCTTTCAAATTAACATGTTTAATTTATATAGTTTGCTGTATAATAGCTGGACCATAACTAAGCACAAATTTTCATAGATTTCTCGAAAGTCTGAATATTTTCAAATGTGGCACATCTTAAAATGGGCCTCTTTGCACTCAGATTGTGTAGCCATGTTGTTGAAATGGTTTACAACTTGTGTATAACAAAGTGTGTATTTTGGGAGCTTCGCTACCCTGAACTGTCCACATTTCCTTTAGGTAGACTTACTTCTATGACATCCTTCAATTTGAACTGTCTGTTAAGTGAAAACTCCATAAATTGTTATGGTACAACATATACCTGAGAGCAATGTTTCATAATGGTGTAAACATACATGTTTAATGAATGTAACCATATGGGTTGTTTGTATTTTTCCTGAAATAACACTATATCAGCTCAGAACCTTTGCAGTAATTCAGATTTATTGTTTCATTTCTCACACTGCTGACCCGAAGCCAACAACGATTTCACAACTGTAGGGCGTTGTTGCCGTCCTGGAGATTTGTATTGAACTGGGACACCTATCCATTTTGCTTGTGTAACACCCAAACTATCAGGTCAGTTTCTGACAGCCATGGCAACATTAAACATACTGAGCAGTCAATGAGCGTGACATTCTTCTTTCTACAGTTAAGCCTTTACTTTAACAACTGACGCCAAAAAACATCTGATAACTACTTCTCATAAAACGTAAGAATAATTGTATAAAATTATATACAGTGATATAAATAAAAACCAAAATGCTTCCAGGATTTAATCTCTTTTCTTTTTTTTCTCTCCATCTTCTTACTTGCGCACAGCAAGATTGGGAAACTGCAATACAAGAAAACACATTTGGTATTTAAAGTGCAACACAGCACATATAATTCAGCACCACTATAACCATTTTTGTTTACTGTCAAAAATATTTTCAGATTAATCTTTTTCTTCTTGGAGTTATTGCTTGCATACCTCCCAGAATGCTTGATCATCAAAGCATTTGTTGTTTTGTGGGGGTCTCCAGAAGCTCCACTTGAGTAGCAGTCCTTTAAACAATGATGTAAGAAATGGGCTTATAAAACAGTATTAATATGCACCTGAAGCTCTCATCCTGCAAATTGTTGCACACCGTAGAATGAGGTTATTTGTGCATATATCACACATTACTTTCTGCAACAGGAAAATGCAAAGCAGGCCATAAAGGTGGAGTGTGCATTTTCAGCCTCACATCTTTTTTTTTGTCAGATTCAGTCTGCTAACTGTAGGTTCTGTGTGCGCTGAAAAAGAAATTTGGTGTTTGCACGCTGCCCTGGTTCTGTAAATAGTAAATAAAGGGGCGTGGATAGATCCCCACAGCACTATTCAAATGTGTTCTGCGCACAAGTGCGAACATGCACAGGACGCATTTGAACAGGGGAAAGCGCGCAGTGAGAGTGAGGGGGGCTGTAAACCTGATACGTGTTAGCTACTGCTGTCAACAAAACTACTGACGCCACTTTTAATCAAAACCTCTAATTTCAGGATCATGCCAGGCTGCTCAGAGTAAAAACAAAAAAAAACTTACGAAAGCAAATACATACCTGTCACAATTCCCACGGACAAACTAATGGTGATGGTGATGAGGAGAGTACAAATGTGAAATACAGCAAACCAGATAGCCCTAAACGATGAAGAACAAATTACACACTGTGTTGCACTTTATGCGTGCTGCAGTGCCGGTCACATGATGGATGCATGCTTACGTCGCGTGATCATCGCTGTCTTTGATCTGCAGGAGAAGATGTGATAGCCATCCCAGTAGACCAGGGAGTCCATGTGTGCTCAGAGTAGCACAGGTGTCATGGCACTGAAATGCAAGTAGCATGTGGATCTGGAAAACAAGAAGTTATCAGGGGTTTAGATGTAGAAAGTATTAACCAAGAGGTAACTGTCTATGCAGGGATAGGAACCTTAAGATACTGGAATCCAATGGTTGATATAATGGCAGCAGTGAATCCAATTGTCATGGCTTCCCATGGCTGATGAACTGCTGACATGGAAACCCCGACAGCAACACCACCTGCAAGCATGCACGACTGCATCTGAATCTGATCCAGGAGAGAAGACATAAATCAGACCTCGCTAATGTCAAGCATGATTACTAGATGATTAATTCCTTGATTTGTGGGTGGTTGTCATGGCCCAAGAAAGACACCAGTCTTTTTAGTGCAGCTTATCATGACTTTGTAGACAAAGTAGCACAATATTGTGTTCACTTATCAAGTGTTCAATCCTACCAGGTTGAGTTTTCCCTTAGGATGTGAGAGCAGAGACACAGCAGCTGCTGTCACAGCACTAACAGCCAGGGCCAGGTAGGTGCTGCACACGGCCCCCAGCTTCCTCCCAGGAGTACGATCATCCACAAGGATCGAGTTAAAAGTGGGCCAAAACATCCAGAGAAACACAGTCCCTGGAGAACAGAGACAACAGATAGAAGAATTTATTTTCAGATGCAGAAGGGTTTTGCTTTTCCAAGGTGGATGTGTGCTAAAGCAGGGTATGAAATTAAATATCCACTTGATCCAGTAGATAACCCATTTGCTAAATCTCTACAAACCCAAACTAGAAGTAACATCAGAAAAGCAAAGCCTACTATTCACCCAACATGGAGAACAATCCTGTTTTCCTGTCAAATTTTTCTTTTTCAAATCGCAGCTCTGAGCCTTTCCGATAAAGGATCCATGAAAGCACGAGCCCAAAGAAGGAACCAAAGATGTGAAGCAGCATGATGCCGTTCAGAGGTCGGACCTGCAGACAGTCAACATTACCATCAGCAAATTACAAACAAAAGCAGGAAAACTTTGCACAGCATGTGCTGTGTAGCGTATGGTGAGGATATGCTTGGCCCTAATATTTGATGTAAAGGTGAAACACACAAACAGTTGCTTACCTTTAGGAGAGTCTGGAGGACCCACTCATTCAAGACGAACCCTGACACCTCCAGCAGGGCAATAATGATGAGTTGGACTGGGTTGGTCTTCCCCAGCACGGCTCCAATTGAAATGAGAACAGAGGCTGTGCACATCTCAGCCACTACCAGGCTACATCAAACATTACAATCAGTAAAAATAGGATAATGAAAGCATACACTAGGTTTCACATATTTTGAGGACTAGTCAAAGCGGAGAAAACATTTCTGTTAATTAAGTGATATGCTTTTCTTATAGGCTATACACAGTTTGATTTGTCACTGAAATGACAATGTGACATCCTACCTTCTCAAATTTATCCTGATCTTCCCTGTGTAGTACCAGGACTCAATGCCATTCAGTGTGATTGCCCATTGAGTAGCCATGACAGCCACTAGGAGGTTGAACCCAGAGCCGCTGAAACCATACCGCACCAGAAAAGTGCACAAGAAGCCAAAACCTAGAATCACCATCACATTCACATCCTGGAACTCTGTAAAGGAAGATAAGCTCTAGGTTAGGAAAAACTGTCAAATACAAAGCAGTACAAAACAGCATCAGTTGACCGCCATGCTGTATTGCATCAAGTCAACACCAGCAACAATAAGCTTATCAATGCCCAACAGTAAAAACTGCAGCTCCTCCCCATACTCTTGGATTCTACTGTGTTTATATTTGCCTTTGAAGCATATTTATGAAGCTTAAAAATGTATATATTTTTAGAAACAAGCTTTTAAAATTGAACATCAAGTGCCAACTTTTCAGCCCCCAGTGTCTCAGCCTCCTCTCCCTTCCAGACTCATAAAAACTCACCTGGATAGAAGTTGCTGAAGGTTTTTTCATTCACTTTTACACTGCTGTCGACTTCAACGAAAAAGGCATATATGGTGATAAACCCTGCCTGCAGAAAAAGCAGCAAAGGTGCCAAACGGGAGCGCAGACTTGGTGCGTACTTGGGAGCCATTGGAGATGTTTCATGCGTCCTTCTCTTCCAAAAGACGCGCAGAAGTTGCGCGGACGCTTTGAAAATGGGCGCAACCCCAAGCAGAGCTTTTGGCTTTTATCAGCTGCTGGGCATGAAAACGTCTGTCGTGAGTGATTGTTGATTTAGACGCTTGAGAAAACAACAATGTTGTAATGCATTTTTACAAGAGGATTTGGGTCATGAAAATGTCTATTTTGTGCATATTTGCATGTTAGAAGAAAGTCATTATTAGAAAAGCCTCTCTTTATGGCCTATTTCCAAGACAAAGAACAAAATGCAGTATTATTAGCCTTACAGACAATCCGGTAAAAAATAAAAAATAAAAAACGCCCTGATAAAGCTCATCATATCATAACTGCAGCACTCACTTTTATTTTAAAAAACGCACGCGCGTGCACACACCGTGCACGCATTTTAACCTGGTAACAAAACATAGATGGCATTCAGCGCCTTGGGGCAACTCTGTCAATGAACCTCTCACAAAGGCCCTGATATAAATAACCCCCGTATGTTAGAATGGGTGTTTTTGTATCAGACACAAAGAGAATCTTGTCCCAAAGACTGCATATTTTCTGCTCATAACAAACCAAAGGCAAAAACCTCAAAGAACAAATCCCGCCTCCGCGGCCAGCGGATTGGTCAATCTGCGATGCCCGATTTGTCCACAAACATTTGATTGGCTGAGCTGCGAGACGTTCCACACACAGCGGCCCTCGCCTCCTCGCTCTCCCCCGTTGTAATTGGTGGAGCAGACGCGAGCGAGTGGCCACGGTGTGATCTCATTGGCTCCCCTGTGTGTCAGTCAGAGAGAGGGGCCCCGGCGGACAGGCTGATTGGATGATCCAGCCGTCTGACAACTGGACGTACGTAAAATACAGCGCGGTTTGGGCTTATTGAGCCTGCGCTAACAGAAAAAGAGGAGGTTCCCGAATAGAGTCTTTTATTTATTTCTTTGTTTCCAGTGGGGAAAAATAATAACAGCGACATTTACCACAGGCACTTTATTTATTATCTTTGTCCGTATACACAAGAAAACTGGATAAGATTACAGTGGTGACTCGAAG